ACTTGTGTGCTTGTTTGTTCTGTCTGAAATGTTTATTTTGGAATAAAGAGGTTAATATAAAAAATATTTTTTGTCCGATTCATCGATTAATCGAAAAAATAATCGTCTGATTCATCGATTTTTAAAATAATTGTTAGTTGCAGCCCTAATATTTACAGAGTCCATCTTCATCAGTGGTCCCAAAAGTTTGTTCAAAACAGCCAGTGTCCAGCATAAGGTACAGGCTTCTCCTTTTTCTCACTCCTGATTTGATCAAATAGCTTCCGAAGAAGGTGGTAAAATAGTACTTTGACAGAGATGCTTCAAACATTTCCCAGCATTTTCTGCGGCTACTCGGGCTGAGTTGTTCATTGTGTTCACATCTCTGTTTGTGCAGGGTGAGACTTTGTGCTGTTAGCAGGTTTTTAAACCAGGGGCTTCTGGTTGCTTTCAGAACAATGTTAAAACTTGGCTCCATGAAGTGCATTAAAAAACAAAAGCCTTCCCAATCTACCGTGTTTATTACAAGCATGTCTTTTTCTATTTACGAATGTGTTGCGCGATGCCCTCCTCTTTCCTATCATCACAGCTTTACCTTCTGAGCACATCAGAGAAGTTACATTGCTCTGCATGGCTAAATGTGTTAACCTGACAACAGCCAGATGCATGTCTCGCTCCGCCTAGCTCCACTCACATACATCTAGGAACCCGCTCATTGAAAGTGATTTCCCAAACCGAATTTATGGTCTGGCCAATCAGGACGCAGGGCGGGTGTGTCCTGGATGTGACGTAGTGGAGAAGTGAGTTCTGTAAGTCGTTCGTCTATACTTTTTTGGTTGGCTTCTTTTTTTAAAATAAGTCTGCTCTGCACAATGTTGCCTTTTATCCGCACATTTTCATGGCACAAACGACATTGATCATTTACCAACATTGCGCTGATTCCACTGTTGCTATATCCAAGATGTCGGCTGTTCTGTTTTGTTTTTTTCCTGCGTAGCTCTCAGCGCCACGGGTTAGCTTCGGTGTGAGTGGTTGAAATAGCACGTCGATAAAGATGACAGACAAGTGGCTTATCCAATCATATGCAAGGAGTTTTGATAAGGCCTAGCCTTCAGTAAAGGCAATTCCTATGGCGGTGTCCCAGATGTATGTGAGTGGAGCTAGGCGGAACGAGACATGCATCTGGCTGTTGTCAGGTTATAAATGTGTGGCATATAGGAGTTATTAAAGTAGTTTATTTGGTGTTTGTATAAATAAACAACAATGTAAAGTTCCTTCTGCATCCTAGTTGCCATTAAAGAGAGTAAATAATGCTGGTCTGGACTCTGCTCTAGCATGCTTCCATTCTGGCATTACTTCTCTTGCTAATACCAATGAATCTCTGGTTGAGAAGAAACAGCGGTGCCCTCTAGTGGACGGCAGTAACATTAAAACACTGACAGAATCAGAGTAAATCACGTTTTAGATCATTTTAATCTTAAAACCTTAACCGAAAGTCAATCATTAAGTTTTAGCTTTTTCTCCACATTGAGGTTCTATTCCGAACATACGGCCTTATGATCAATCGGAGGCAGTTCCACACGCTGAACCAGTTATATCTGATACATCTGACAAAAATGATTTTATAAATGGATTTTTATTTTTTTTAAATAAGGCATTTTAATGCCACAATAATCACATTTAATGATTTTTAATGCCAATTAAGGCCTTAATTGAAAAAAAAATCATTTAATAACTTAATGATTTTTAATGACCTGCGGAAACCCTTTAACAGATACTGTCATACACATTATCTACTTTAAGGATTAGTTTAGTAACTTCAATGTAAAAAATATAGATTTGAAAAAATATTTTTTCTGCCTTAATTTACTTTGGAGGAATCTTTATGTAAATTTATTTTTTTTTTTTTTTAAGAATCTAGAATTTGCACATTCCCTTTTATTTTTGTCTAATTTTAAATTATAAAGTTAGATGTAAAACATTTGCTATCTGTGAATCAATACTTAAATATGATTAATGTGGCAGTAAGCAGTTGTGCTAAGATCCAACATGTACTTTAACGCACTTCAATGATGCTGCATCTTCCATAACAGTCCAATCACTTTAGAAATTAGTTATCTTCTCTAGTTCTAAGCAGGTTCTTTATGCAGCTTTATCTTATTTATTCTTGAATAACTGTGATGAGAGACTTCAGACACATGGTTTGGAGTGGGCCATTTGTGCTGTACGAGTGCTGCTTGGTCAATGTGTGAAGAGTCCAGAGAAACTCGGCAGGCTCTCACCCAAAGGTTGCAAACAGTTGGAAGAACCTAAATTAGCATTTCTACATGATGACTGCAACACTACCTCTTCTATTTCCACAAAAGGACCATCGGTGACGGTGACTCGCCAACAACATGAAGCTGGTGGGCTTTTAAGTCCTAAAATAATTTTTTGGCTGTTAAAATCTAAAAAGACAAATCTGTCTTTTTTTGTTTTTCTTTTCTTTATCCACAATTGTCATATTGTTAATTGTTTTTCAGCCTCTGATGTCGAGGCTTGAGGCTAAGTGTAAAAACTGGACAGAACAAGAAGGACAACAACCTCAGTAAGTAAGGGTCCTCTGCTCTTTTAGGGTTAGGATATGATTAAGGAACCCAAACCTGCTTTAGACTTTTAAAAATATTGAACCCTAAACAGTCTGATTCCCTTATTTAAAGGCCTTCACAGAAAACGTCTCTATGTCGAAATGAAGGTTGATAGGTGACTACTTGAGGTGGTACGTTGCAGTTATTTTTATGTTTAATGGGGACTAAATTGTAAATGGCAGTAACTTGTATTTGTCAATTACATAAAATCCAAATTAAATAGTTTGATTGTTTGCAACAGGAAAAAATGAAAAAGGGTGACTTCCATTTCAAGGCATAAATGTTTTCCACTATAAGTTAGTAGACGACACATAAAAATTGTGAAACTATATGTTACAGCAACTTCAACAAGAGCTCTGTTGTACTGTACCTCACAGGACTGCTTGCTTTCCATGATTTTGAGGATGGTGTCTTTTAATGCATGGTGGATGAAGGGTGTGGCTGTAGCCTTCATGTACTGCTCCATGAGCGTGCTGGCCAGCGTAGTTGCTCTGAACAATGTTGTTGCCTCATCTGGTGAGGTCGACAAACGTAAAATATAACACAAACTTCAGTAAATGCTCTTACATACATTCCTCTATTTACCAATTGTGCAACAAGCTGCAACATAATGCAGGGCTATGTATCGCAAAGCAGCAACACAACTTGTGATAGCATGCCCTCAGTTTGAATCATCCCTTTATATTCATCCAAATTCCTGAGGAAGGAGGTAAACCATTTCTGGGATCTAGGTGATCATTGCTATATTTTGCAGAACAGTTTATAACTCGTTTGTGAGCTTCTTACCCTCCATGTTAATTTCTCTGTCATTAAGTGTCCTAAGTAGAGGGGCTTCAGCATTCTCGTGTCTAAAGATCCGCAGAAGGAGGCTGGCTAATAACGTGCGGTCCTGACCACAAACATTGGCCAAAGCGTAGATGGCATGGAAATCTTTCTGCAAAATCATCTGCAAAGAAAATCAGACGGTGAGAAATGACACTAAATCAATGACACTGTTGACAGTCAAATGAGATCGCAATTAGATCTTTTTAATGATTCTTACCTCTTTGAATTCACTGTACTCCTCTTCTGGCATGATCTTCTCCATGGAGTAGCGGTGGCGTACCCGCAAAGAGCCTGGCTCGATGCCCTTCAGAGGAACATGAGAGCTCAGGGGGAACCACTCATCAATCATCTGACCCTTCTGTAACCGACCTAGTTGGCAGCGCATAAACACTAAAAGGACATGAAAAATATGCAAACAGTGAAGCAAACCAAAAACTTTAAATAAAAAACTGTAAAACAAATGCATCTAAACATCCTGCTGCACTTACAGATATCGCTTTCCTTGCTCTTCTTTGTTTTGTTGCTCAGACTGATTTCAAATCGGTTCACTTCACTGGACAGGTCACTGAAACGAGAGGAAAGTGTTTGGGAATTCTGCTAACATTGACGGAAAAGGTCAATTCAAGCCAAGATGAAACCAGTGTGGTTTGGGGATTCCCAAACTTACTCAAAGATGAACTCCTCAGTGAAGACAGGATTCTGGCCTTCCCTTGGATGCGTCTTAGCGACCTGGACGCTGTTCAGGTAGATGTTGCAGTAGGGGTTGGTAAAATACTTTGCAGGCAGCTTGTGGGCCTCCTCTACATTCAGCACCAGGCTGCTCACCTGAGACAAGATACATTAGTACATATTTCTTTTCCATAAACATCAAATATAAAAAGCTTTTTTTGTACTTTATGAGAAAAGAGATTGACAAGCATACCTGTCGAAGCCTTTTGTTTGAAGTCGGTACAGTGGTTTTTCTTAGATTACTACAGAACGTCTGAAGGCATTTCATCCAATCCTGCAAAAACAAAATAAGGTACATCCTTTCACCGAGACTAAATAAACAGTATTGCATAAATACTTAAAATTGAAGTACACAAATTGATAGCCGGCAAAATAAATATAAAAAAAGGAGGAAATAAATAGCACATTTCTTGTCTTTTTAATCTTGTTTTATTACAAATGAATCATTTTTTTAAGTAATCATAAAAATAGCTTGTAATCCCAGTCTTCTCAAACTAAAGCAACTTTTGGTAGCCCAGAAACCACAAATAGGGAATAAAGTTGGGCCAATAAATCTGACAAAACAGAAGAAAGTAAATAATATGTTCAGCAGGATTACAAAGCGGGCCGTTTCATCATTCAGAATACCCATTTAGTTTTCTTTCATCAGCTTACGTTTAATATGAATTGACTAACAAACGGCAAAAAAACAAACATAAATCAGACCATAGTCTGACGTATATGTCAGACACATACATGACCAGAGATGAATCACAGGAACCACAGCTTGGAGCTAAATCTAAGAACAATCTCCAGCACCAGAATATCAGTGACACATGAGCCACACCACATAGCTTACAGTTAGATGTTAAGTGAAACAACAGCCCCACTGAGTGGTGAAGCTGGGCGTTACATCCTTTTTCATTTCAGGGCAACACTTAAATAAAATAGGCTTATGCATTTTAAATCTTAAGAAATTTGACCTAATTACCTACATCGTATGTTTTGACATCCATATAATAAACCAAGAACCCTTTGAGATTCAATACTGACATCGATCTACTGTGAGTGCATCTATTAAATGCTTTCCTTGTTTAAAACAATTACTCAATGCATTAAATGTCTTTACATTGCAAAAATAAAGGGTGGTAAGAGGATGGCTGAAATAGCTCCTAATAATTGATGTCATTCTTATGAGGAATCTTGTTTTGTGTTTAAGAAACTTGGGCAAAAGCAGAACCCTTTATTACCTGCGCTTGCTCTGGGACCTCTCCTGCAAAGTAGAATATGTACTGTTCCTCACTAAAGTGCTGGACAACGATCTGGAAACAGTTTGGCCTGAAAAGAAACATAGAAAGAGAGCTTTACGTCCCTGCTTGGCATAAGGTAAAACACATTTGTTTTGCATGTTGTTTGTTCGTCTGCCATCATCACCTGCCAAAAAGACTGTCGTGCACACCGTACACGGAGCACACGCTTAGGTCTATCAGCCCTTTGGGTTTGGTAGCTCTCTTCTCGCTTTCAAAATAGATGAGCTGCGCATCATTGCCCTCCAGGATAAAGTACAGGTTCTTCCACCTTTTTCCTTTTCCTTAAACAAAAAGGAAAAAATAAATTACTTCCTTCTCTGATAAAACAATTTAAAATAAAAAATAATTGAGGTTTCTAAAACAGAAATGGATAGATACCTTTGCTGAAGAGGAGATAGCCTTTTTTGACTATGTTCTTGTAGAAAGCATCTTTTGTTCTCCGTCTTATAGTGTTATAAATTTCTCTCCCATCCGTTATGTCAGTTAACACCTGCTCCTGGTGCTATAGTAAAAACAAATCCGCCGTTAAAATATAGAAAAATATATACTACTTTCATTCAAATAGGTGTATAGGGTTACACTCAATATTACCCCCGATATGATTTATAGCTTAAATCTTCAACAGAAAAATTTTGGTCGCATTTTTTAAGAAATATTTATAAAAAACATTGTCAACTTTTTCATACCAGCCCTGAGTCAAATTCAGAGTTTATGTTAGATGATGGAAATCTCTGCGTCTTTATTCTATTTCACACTAATCACCATCTCAACCAGTCGGTGTGCTTACCTGTATTGAAACTGGTTCTTTCAGGGTGTAGCCCTCAACAATCTGTTCTTTCTTGTAATGATCAATGATATCGTCAAGACTGTCACAGAAAAACAAAACAGCCACAAAAAAAACACTGAATGGAAGACAAAACAGCTCATTTTCCAAAGACAAATTAAGCTGATGCTGTGCATGACAAACTACAGGTCTAAATGCATGAGAAAATGGGAGATACAAAAATGTGATGCATTTCTATCCCCTGCTACATTCCTACACATTAGTGGACATACCTGTTGTAGTACCTCCCTCCCATCATGTACTGATTGTTGGGAGTTGGGGAGATCTTGAACCTTTGGATGTTTTCACTCGTGCGAAAAAAGAGGGAGTAGTCACCAGGTGTGTTGTCTGAGGGTCGGACCAAGAAGCTGCAAACCTGGCCAACTAAGACAAAGGGTGAGGCGTGGAAATTATTGACAAAATTTATTTAAAATCTTTCTGCATGAAAGAAACAAAAACAACTCTTGAAACCTCTAGTAGAACAGAAGGGAAGGAGCTCATGGTACCTGACATAAGAAGGGTGTAAGCCTCCGGCTTGGTAATCTTTCCGTGATACCAGCTAAAGGTGAGCGTTCAGAACAGAAAGAAAAAGAGGAAAATAAACTGATTTAAACAACGAGATATTTAGGTTATGTTAATCTGGTCTCGACTAAAAGCTAAAAATCATTTTAAATTTTTTTTTTTAAGGTTAAGCAGCAGTTCTATGTTAGCCTCCATCAACATGGTAACAGAAAGTATGACTAAGGAAACTTTGAATATAATTTAACTAAATCATTCAGAAATGAAAATAATAAAAATTATTGAATAAGGATTTGTTGGAAAGTGTGTTTTATTATAATGTTATGCTTAATAAAACATGGATTCAGAGCTTACACTTTTCCCTCGTGCGGGTCCTCCTCTCGGCCCTGCAAAATAACATGTAAAGACAAACGTATTGTTTTTTATCTGTCAGGACATTATATTCAACTGTAATGTTGGTGTGACTAAATCTGCATCACATCTGTATTGTAAATAAGATTTGACAAAACATCTGCAACCAAGCGTGAGCTGATTATTGATGACAGGATAAATAAGATGTTAACAGGTTAGGGTATCTGTTTTTATTTCTAAATCCAAATCTTTCTTTTTTTTCCCAAGTTTCATTAAGCTAAATATAAGGCTTAAATATGCATTTTCTGACTAGTACTTAACTATACCAAGACATGTTTGTTTTGGAAAACATACGTTAAGCAAAAATGAGCTGCGGATTGTTATTAAGGAATAACAAGTGTTTAAATATCATAGTGGCTGTGATGCTACAATTCTTTAGTCATGCTGTTCTGACAGATTATAGCTGCAAGAGAAGTAAAGGAGCCCCACCTGAGAAGCTTATGAAGCCAACACCATTTTAATACGATATTTTCCTTGTCTGATAAGCAGTCTAATGCCTGAGCAGATAGACCAACCAGTGAAACAACAATTTTAGCGACCCTAAAGGGTCGTTCAGTCTTTTTTTTTGTTTTTTAAAACACCTCCAGATTTCACACATTTTCCACGGCACCATATTGCTCTGCAGCACCAACTTATTATTATAAGCGCCTCTAAGAAACGTCTCCTTATACCGGATCTTTTAATCATTAATGGCTCGCAATTTATGGATAAACGATTTTAACTTGGAGGATGTTTTTGAAACGGTAGCAGATATGAAAAGTAGAACCTACTATTAACACAATTTCCATCTAGAAATGCAATAATGGCATTTGAATAAGAGTTAAGAAGCAGAAACCCTGCTTTTAAGTTGATATTTAACTTGTTGCTTTGAACTATCAATCTGGTGTCTGGAAAAAAGCTACATCACCAACATTTTGCATAATAAGCACTTAAATAACTTCTGTATCTACTTATTTTAAGTCTGCAATCAAAATGCACTAATCTAAACTTGATAACCGTTTTCTGGAGGCACCTTTTAAACTTTGGTGAAATTCCTCAAAATGTTTATCATGTCCTGTCAAGCCCATGTATCCCCTGCTTTGTGGTGTGCTGTGTGTTTTACTCACCACTTCTTCTACCAGATCCTCCACGATGAGCCCTTGCTCTCCTGTGCGAACATTGGCGACCCACATCCAGCCATCCTCTAGGTCATTGTGAACAATAAACATGTCCCCTTTCAGGAAGCTGAGGGTAAAATTCAAAATATAAAAAGAAAAATTGAATTGCAAGCACCATACTGATAGAGATGCCAAGCATTTGGCTGTAGAGAAAGAACATTAAGATGATAATAACAGATGCCTTTTTTCTGGTGTAGCGTAAGCTACTTCTAATGTGACCAGCAGGTGTCTCCTTTGCCTTATAACAGCACGCACATCATCTACATTGTCGAGCTTAAAGCTGACTTGTCTGGCTGACTTTAGACAGATGTTTATCAGATTTAGGAAACGGGGATAGAGATGCTAGCATCAATGAGTGTATGCACTGCAGCTTAACGACTGTTTTCCAGTAAGTCAGATGATGTGCTTAACAGACTGTTGATGCATTCCACAAAATCAGGCTGTTATTTGTTGAGCGAAACAAGCAGATCCTTTCTTTTTATGGCCGAGACCTTTGTGCTAATATGTGTTTGAATAAAAATATTAATGAAAGAACCTGAGTTGGACAAAAAAGGAAGGAACATAATGGATGGTTGGATAAGTGCTTACCTGATCTCATCAGTATCTGGCACTTTGGTGTATGGAAGTATGGCCCTGACTCTTCTCCTGTCTTCTACAGGCTGAGGGAATTTAAGAAAAAAAGAATAATAAGAAAAAAATGACATCGTTGAATCAATATACTATTACACCATTCTCATTTAAACAACAGAAACTCTTCTTTGAGCAGACTGCCATCTGCCTGTATCCTGCTTGTTTCACCATTATATTCAACACACAATAACCAGCGTCAAGGGCTATCCTTTAATGCTGTTTTCTATTTAAAGAGTTTTCAATTTGAAAAAAATATATATAAGGCAAATTTAACAGCTCACTAAAGGAGAAAAAAGGAGCTGCTGTAAAGGTTTTCAAAGCCATGAAGTCACTCTTACTTCTGGAGGTGCCACTGGTGATAGGAGTTTCTCTCCTTTTAATAGGCAAGATACATAGCTGTAGTAGCCGATCAGGTCCGATAAAGAACAGAACCGTCGACCACCAATGTAATAGTCCCCACACATGGCGATTATCCTGGAATTAAAACAACAGTGCATGACATTACATTTTTAAATACAGGTTCTTAGTTTATAGAATAATACAGTTTCACTGGATTTGCTGCATTTGTGAATATGTGCAGAATGCACTGAACACTAAAATAACAGCAAAAAAACAGAGGGAAAAATGTTTAGTTCAATTTAACTTCTGCATAAAGATTTTTTTTATTCATTTTGAAAGTGTGCACACATTTATTGTGATTCAAATTCAAAGAGTCCTGCAAACAAACAAAAAAACCTGATGCAAAGAGAAATGGATGCATGAAGAAAAGCTGATCACAGAAAATAGAGAGCAGAAAAGTAAAAACATTCTTCAAACACAAAAAGCATGGGTGGTGACCTTCATTTAAAGAGCAACACAATTTAAGCTGTGAAACATGTTTGTAAGAGAATTATGTTTCAAAACAAACAGTGAAAATACAACAAACTAAACATTTACAGACAGTGGTATCACACAGTGAGCTAATTTATCAGCTATGATTACATTTCATAAATCATAAATTGACATCACTCTGAGCTATGGAAGCCCAAGCAGAAGATTGGTGGGGGAAAAAAAAAAAAGCATTTTCTCAAAAATTTGAATCCTTATGAACAAAAACTTTGACTAATCAATAAAACAGATTAATCGCCTGGCCCTAGCTGCAGAAGCCCTGCATAATTATTCCAGACAAAAAGATCCAGACAATCATGAACTCATATGGGACTAGACAATGGGTGCCCTGGTTCAGTCCTCCAGAGCTACCATCCTGCAACTTTAAGATGCATCCCTTCTTTTTGCTAAGTATCAAATGAGCGGCTCGTTACCAGGGCGAGGGGATTATGATGGTAGATTCAGGTTTGTTAGAGAAGAGATGCATCTAAAATCATATTTCCGAGAACTGGCCTTGGGTATCTCTGGACTCTTGGTAAAGGCAATAAATGGATGCACAGAGATTAAATATTTCCAAAAAGTCTCAAAGAAAAGCTTTTTTTTCCCCACCCTTCTTCCACTAAATAGCATCTCATTTATGTTTTTGCTAAGGGTCCAGTCCATAGATTTTAAGTCATGGCCATGTCCATGTTCTGGTCGGAGATGTTCGGTACCTTTTTTTTTTTCTCCCGATACGATGCTTGTGCTGAAGTATCGGCCGATACAGGGTACCAATACCAGTATATTACTATATATATATATATATATATATATATATATATATATATATATATAAAATCATACTATGCCTGCACCATTACTGTGATATGATTATCCTTGTGGGAAGGCCTGGCTGGGTTCAATTTCTTTTGCCAGCAGGTGGCAGCATAGGGCAACTGTTTTATGAACAGTGAAAAACAACTGTGAAAGAACTAACTAAGCTTAACATCGGTTCAGTGCCTGACTCCAATACTCGCTGATAGCGATGCCACCATTTCCCACAGTATCAGAGAGATTTCCGAAACTGGTAAAGAAATCCATTGTTTTTGCTACTTGAAGCATTTTCCCTGCATACATTTAATCTGTTACATTTATATACACTGCATGGCCAAAAACAAACAATGTCTGAGACTAATATTTCGTTGCACCTCTGTTCGCTTAGATTATGGCAAACTGTGGCACTTTTTCAATTCAAATTTTTAAATATTTACACTCAGTGTTGCAATAATTTTTCACCAAAATCTTGCATTGATGATTGTAGAGGCTGCATAAAGCCTTCTCCAGCACAACCCAAAGATTCTTAATGAGGTTAAGGTCTGGACTCTGTGGTGGCCAATCCATGTGTGAAATAATGTCTCATGCTCCCTGAACACCTGTTCCACAATTCAAGCCTGATGAATCCTGACATTGAGGAAGAAAAATTGGTGGAATAACCTGGTCATTCAGTATATTAAGGTAGTCAGCTGACCTGTTCTTGGAGCACAGACCTGACCAACTGCAGCAACCCCTGACCACAACAATGCCACCACAGGCTTGTACAGTAAAGAATAGGCATGATGGGTATATCACTTCACCTGCCTCTCCTCTTACCCTTATGTGCCCATCACTCTGGAACAGGGTAGATCTGGACTCATCAGACCATTTCACATTTTTTTATTATTATTACAATTTTGATGCTTCCTTTTTTTCCCCCAGTTACCCTCTCTGATTATTGCTTTTGTTAAGACAACACAACAGTTAAGTCCCATTCCAATGTCTATGTTGAACCGGTCTTATTTCAACATTAAACAGCCCAGTACCCATTCACCTAGTTCAATCCAGGTTCCAAATTTTGTTTTCTAGCTAAGCACGCTTCCACTTTGCTGCTCTCCATTTTCTATGATTGCTGCTTTTCTACTTTGCAATTTTTTCTTTTAAAGTTCTTTATGTTTGTTAGTCTCATTATTAAGTTTGTTAGTCTCATTTTTGGGTTTGCAGTACATTTTTAATTGTTAAGTAAACATGTATATTTACACAGCGCTTGCACCCATTTTCCACAGCACCTATTGGCTTTTAATAGTGCCACCCCACTTTTGATTTAACATGCAACTGTAGGCAAAATAAAACCAATCAAAATCAGACTATTATATATGCAGACACAAAAAAAAAAAAGACCCTGAATTTTAATTCTATTTCACTTTGCTTATTCTAGTTTTCGTAATCTTGTATATGTAGCGTTAATCACAAAATAGAGGAAGACAAAGTTGAATTGACACGGTGATCAAACTCTTCTCTTATTTGTACAGCAGCTGCATTTTTTGTGGCAGTTGATAATTATTTTTTGGTAATAAGCTTTCCTTACCATCCCTTTAGACTTTAACTCCCCCCAAAGATCCTCTACCAGTTTAGTTTGAGTTGCTCCCAAATGGTAAAATTACTTCTAGTCATAGAAAGACATGTTAGTAAAATACTGAGTTTACATAAAATTATCCAGCAGTATGGATAGCTCAGCTCTTGGCTCAAATATCCCCCCAGAATATTACTTCTATCACTCGCCATGTCTTCCTAAACACCAGTTTAGTATCATAATTAGGGCCCCACCCATTCATTTCTAACCCATTTCTACAGCCTAACCGTAACCCTTACCCTAACCATTACAGGGTCATACCTAACCCTAACCCCTACCCTAACTCAATTCACCACTTAGTCCTGAACTTTACACCTAAGCCTAAAACTGTATTTGTAGCGATGGGGACCAGACATTGGTCCCCACTGGAGCAATCAGTCCCCACGGTGTGCTATGATTTATGAACAATGGATATTATATTTTTATAGTTTTGTCTCAATTGCAAAAAGTCTTTGGAGTATTTACTAACCCTTTCTTATGACTGCATGTGTTATTAGTAAGACAAAAAACACTCAAGGGTATCATGTCCTGAGATTCACATACCCAAGGACCATTAAAAAAATTTTTTTTATAAAAAAATACCTATCGCGTTGAACAGTAGGGGCTTCTGAAAGTATCTTTGCAAAATCTCCTGGAATCTGCTGAAAATGTTTGGCTTTTGTGTTAAATATTTTCTCTAAGGATTCAAATTCAGTTTTACTGCAGATCTTTCTAAAAATGAGCTTTCTACTGATAAAACTTTTTCAATCTGATGCCACATACCTGAAATGGTTGACCACATTGGTCATACTGAGGAAAGACAGGACAAAGGAACCGGGCCGGCGGTCACTCTCCCTGATGAGGTAGCTGCCAGGGGTCCGGGCCTGGCGCAAACGCTCCTCTGCAATGGTTCGGTCTAGTTTGCCATGGTACCACCTGAAGAAGACAAATGAAAGAATGAATAAAGTAGAAGCATCAAAATAAAAAGAAAACCCAAAAAGATTTCTACATTTAAAAAGATGATCAGACCATTGCCCTAAAATGTCCATGTTTGTGTTGAAATACAGACACATCAAAATAAACCCTTTAAACTGTTAAATCGCTGAAACCCTTGTTGCTTTACATCAAGATTAAAAACCTATTAATCTAAAGAGGCCATGGGCTGTGCCTTCTAAAATGTATTAGTCCGATTTGTAGTCCAACTTTCTATTATTTTTCTTTTAAATCGTTCTCTGATGATTATTTTCTAACAATCTTATTTTAAATATTCATTTTTACTTTCTGCAATTATTCCTTTTCATAATTTAATTAGTTTTATACCACTGCAATGCATTTTTCCTATTTGGTTTATCTTGCAGATAAATTTGAATTGTCTCAGTACTGCACTGTTGTGTAAATAAGGATGCCTCGCCTTAAAAATCTAGATCTGGGAGAATTTCTTTTTAAATGTTAAAAGTTTAAAAAAAATTTGAAACAGGGAAAATGAAAAAAGAAAGAAAAAAAATACAGCAAGGAGTCAGAAAGAGGTAAGACAGCAGCTTTTTTTCACCAGAGACCTAAATGGCTTCCATTTGGTTTGGGGAGCACAGGTCTGTGCTTGTAAAGAAAACATGATCAAATATGCTTTCAACCATTAGGCTGTAGATGGTGTGCTAAAGGAAATAGTAGAGTTGTACAGAACAAGAAGAAACAGAAACAGTATTAACAATGTTAATTAAGAAAAATGCACCAGAAAAACCAGACAGATTTGTATAATTGTACTAAACAGATATTAGCTAAATCTAGGCCAAGAAAAATTCGAAAAGATAAAACAACCTCCAGAAGCAGCAACCAAAAATGATCAAATCCAAAATAATAAACAAAGCTTCAGTAACGATTCCTTCAGTTTCAAGCCAATCCTGGAAATCCATCTTGAGCCTGCATATGCAAGACATGCAGGATCTAACACAACATTGATGTGACCTGACAGGAAGATGCTCAACTTCAACAAGCTGCTCAGCTTTCTGCTCTATTTAAAGGCTCAACCCCTGCTACTCTAAAACAAAAAGCAACATTCATTGATAACAGATTTGTACAGCATTTCTCTCAGGTTAAGGAATAATTCTAGTGAATATAGTTCTAGGGAAGGTTATCAAGATCATTTTTAATATGTATAGGATGAACATAACACTAAACATCTGTCTGTGTGTGTGGGTGGGTGGGTGTGTGTGTGGTGGTGGAGAGGTTGTGTTTTGTGGTATACCTGTACCAATGCACAGCTACACACTGACTGAAAGCAGGCTGCCACTAGTCATCCACACAGCTACTATTTCTGGGCAAGTGTGAACAACTAAACGCTGCCAAAAGAGGCCCTCGTGTGTTAGGAATATCTAAATTAAAGAGATGTATTTTAATACACTTAAAAAAAAAAAAAAAAACTGTTTGAGAAAATGCTGTGAACACCATTATAATTTTACTTTTTATATCCAATTAGATGTATATTTTGATTTATTTTGAAGATGTACACTTACGGATTATCGATTAAGCTACCATGTTTTATTAAAAACCTTAGCTTCAATGTAATGACTAATATTATATTATTAGCTATCAACAACCACTACTATTTATTTAGTCAGTTATCAAAGTATAGACGGATCATCTGTAATAAAAGGTTGGATGGAACAACATATGTAAGCAGGCTAGAGTGTAATAACACAGCTACTAGACACACATCACCTAGCAGTAGCCCAAGAAAGACTACCAGAAAAAATAAAATGCAGCATAAAAAAAAAAAAAAAGATCTGACTTGACAGGAAGATGCTACACTTTACCAAGCTACTCTATTTTCGAATCTCTTTAAAGGTTCAATTCTTGCTGCTAAAGTGAAACAAACTTGATATCTTTATAGAAAATAGAAACAATACTAACACATTTAGACAAGTTAAACAAACACCACAACCAATAATGTTTGGTGTTTGGTCTTTTCCATTTGGTTTGCAACACAGATCGCACAGCTGTAGGCTCTGCTTGCTGTGGTAAATGTACCACAAAAAAAAATATATAGTAAAAAAAAGGAGCAAGAGCTGCATGCATATAGATTAAATCAGCTCTAAAGCTTAATCTTTATAAGTGATTCTATGATCAAATATAGACATATATTTACATTTTCTACCAGAATGAAAATTTAAATCCATCACAAGTTAGTGGATGGAAGAAAAAAAAAGGAATAAAAGATACAGTTGAATGGATCAAGCAGAAAAGTAAAATCTTAAGAATTAGCATTTCAACATAGCGCCAAACTCTGGTACATAAATTTAGTCTGCAAAGTCCTTACTGAGGAACAACTGAGTCAAACTTAACCAGGTTGTTCTTTACTAATTAAAGATTCTTGAAGTTATAGTTTCTTCTTTTTGTTGTCTTGTTTGTGAAGAAACAAAAAGAGTCAGTTTAAGCCTTCTGTTGTCATCTATCCCATCTTACACTGAATGGCTGGAGTTTAGGTGGAAAAAGGAGCTGAAGACTTTCACACCAGCAAGCCTGTTTTATTATATTCACAAAAAGAATAAAAGGTTCAACAAATATAAACATGCATTTATTTTTTTGTTTGTATATTTTAAAAAAATACAAGTATAGATCACTTCTGTCCACCTTCGATCCATCAAATAAGATGTCCTTGGTAACAACCAGCCATTAAAAAGATATGGCCATAGGCCTTTAAAGAAGAGCACAATTGGAGGGCAAATTTAGTTTTTTATTTGAGGGTTTAGCCTACTGCTGTTGGGTGATCAGATCTAAACAAAACAAACATTGGACTACGAGGATGCTAATGAGGGACAATGCAGGACAGACGTGGCTTTAACAGCTGAGCTTCTCTTTTGTGATTCACCTATACCGCTGCTGCAGCTCCCACACCATGATTGCAGCTACGCTTTCTTCTTATGTAAATATATTTTTTTATTTTTTACTCCTGCCTCAATCAAATGCAAGGTTGGAAGCTACCTAGCTGAGAAATACCTGGTCAAATGCAGAAGGTTGCTTTGGTTTGAGGGGAAAAATGCAGGACTGACTCAGAGAAATCGGGACATCTGATCAGCCTATGCTGTCGCTCCCAACATAGAACTGAAACTGCACTTTTGTAGAAACCAATATTCATTATGTGCCAACCAAATTTCTGTAAATCTTACTGTGAAATCTTGAACTAAAAGCATTTTTGGACCTGATGCTGCAAAAACTGCTGCATATGGCATGATGATTCTGACCACTTTATCTCTGACCAGGTTTATATATAAAACAGTTGCAGCAGAGAAACAGTATGACCGGAAACTTTGAAACTGTGATTCCAAAAAAGTACTTTTTTACTGAAAGCCCTGGAATTTAAGGCCCAGGAATATTTAAACTTAGGTAAAGGGAATCCCATAGAATTTGTGGCTAGTTCTTCTATCATTCTAAACAGCTGAGGAACATTTATGTAAATCAATCGTGTATGGAGTTGTGACAACAATGCAAAACCTTTATTCCAGCAGGTGGCAGTAATAAGAAAATAACAAAAGAAAGCCCTACCTAGAAACATATGTTGCTTTTAAACTACATAATTTATTTGCAAGAACGACTAAACCCTTAATAACAAACTTATTTTTCCTTTTATTCTTATCAAATAATATGATTGCAGATATTGGCAGCACACACAGACTAAATCTTTGACAAGAAATTTACAGTTCAAAAAACAAAAACAGGTAATCACTCAGCAAGGAAAGAAATCGTGAGCAAAGGAGGCAGTGTAATATGACGAGAGGACATGTGGGTGAAGCGGAGTTTTTGGGAAGCAGGACCTCTGGTCTCTTCTTCTGTAGAGCTACAGCATCTGGAGGTTTCACACTCAACTAAATTAGGTTCAACTGAAAAGCAATATGAGGGTATTTTCTTAGTAAAAGCTAAAATGAGCTAAACATATCAAATTTCTAGTTCTAGATTTTATTAAATGCATCTATTCATCACACATATGAAACACTATAGCTCACTTTAGTCACTGCTAGAAGATACCTGATGGCAGGAAATGTTATTGAGTGGCCAACATCAGGCTATGGTTAGAGGGGACAAACCCTCCAATAGGCAGCTGAATATAAAGCCAGTGTCCTGTTAGCAGGAAACTACAGCTCTGAAAACTCTCAACATTTCATAAGTAGGCTGATTCTTGTTTAAAAAATAAAAAATAAAAAAACACAGATCAAATAAAGTTTTAATGTTCATTTTCTCTCTCAAAAATACCTTAATTTATTTTTTGTGACAAAGTAAAGGCTATTAAACAACAATTCTACACTCAGTTTCTCCATCTACTGTTGCTACTGTGGCACAAAGCATTATGGGATATCTTGCTGTACAGCACCCCACAGTTCAACATTACTGGGGCAATCTTAAAACGCCTACTAGAGACAGGAGGCATATACTCATGAAAATGAGACCCGGAAAAGTAAAGCTACTTAGGTGAGCCTTCATAAAAACAGGATATGGGCTTTTAAAACTCCCAGGTTTAATTCTGAACTAAAAAATATATATATATACTACATCAAAAGATAAAAGCCAAGTCTCTGC